CCGAGCCAAGGGCTAACCCACCACACTAGAGTAGGCAACAAGAAAAAACACAGAGATACAACCCAATTGTTTCACTTCTGAATGCAGAAAGGGAGCAAAATTAGATGATATAATCAAACCATGACAGTTTGGCACATTCAACCTAAACAGCAGAGTGCAGACAAGACTGTTTTGTCCACTCAGATTGGATTTGCTATGTTAAATACCTAGTAGGTTCTAGCTGTAATATTAACTAATGTACCAAAAGCAACTCCTATGATAAGCTTACCTGTAAAATGTGAGGGTGATTTATCCTAATCTACAGTTAAAAATGAGACATTCACTCACGTTCATCTCTTTTTATACTAAATGGAGAAAACCGGATATTTTTAAAGGTGAAATTCCCCTTAATCTATAAAAGGCATCAGAGATGCACCAAATGGCATTAGCCCTCTGGGGTGTCTGTTCCTCTCAGCTACACAGGCTCCTTCAGTGAGTAGCCGGATTTTACACATCTATTTGTGAGAAGTGTGGTGATTCGTGTAGGATAAAAAGGAATGATTTTATGCATATATAGGTATATTAAATTGATACCTGGAGAAATTGCTAAGCATAGCTAGAAGCAGGATGTGCATCTATACACTTGAGCAATAGATTAACGAGCTGTATGCCCAAATATGGTCTTAAGATAACCGTGGTATAGTGTTTGTGCGGTATGCTGTAACGAACAGTGACTACCTCAGCACTGGTACAATGAAGAAAGACTATCCAAGAACCTGCCGAGACTGGTTTGAACCTCCGACCCAGGCCAAAGGAACAAGAAGGTGAAAAGTTCGCCTGAGGAAGGCCAGCTTTACTTCATCTTGGGGTCCCTCGAACGACCACCAGAGAGCACCACGCAGACTCAGAAGGATCTTTTAGCTAATTATAATATGAAACGAGGAGGGAGTGGCTAGGAAATTACTATGCATAAGCTTATTGCAAAATCGAATGAATATGTAAAGCTTTGGGGCATAAATAAGGGAAATGCCATTGTGATAGTTGCGCTTGTCAGTAGAGCGGGAAGAAACTCGCCCCCACAGCGCCCAGTGCTGTTTGCTTGAGCCTTATCCAATAAAATCATTGATTTTTAAGAATCATATACTTGGTGAGTAGCCCTATTTACAACATATTTTTTATTTTTTTATTTTTAAACATCAAAATGTAGATTAAATTAACCCACCCAATGCTTTACAGCCTCAGGCAACAACAGAGAGGTGAAGTTGATGCAATCATAAACAGCAATGAATAGAAGCGATGTTGAAGCATTTATAAAGTTTGTCCTCCACGTGAATCCCCTGCTATCTGATAACACATAAGGTAACACCGCAGTCTTTCTTTCAACAGGGACACTTAATGATTCTTTCTACTCTATCTATCCCACTGCCTAGTTGACAAAACTCTTAGGAACTCAATTGCCTCTGAAACTTCTACCCCTTTGCTTTGGTTTAAGTCAACTAAACTGCTTCAAAAATTGCAAGGACACAAGAAAAAAAATTCAGACTGCTTATTTCTCATTATGTCCTTCTGCTTTACATACAGGTTTCAAAGTTCTTTTCAGAGATAAGTAAAAAAATGTTATCCCCGCTTTACAGACAAATTAACCGGGACAGAGAGATGTGCAGCTGGTCAATGACAGAGTTGGGAACAGAATCCAGCCCAATTCCCAGCTTTACTTTCAAGTCACCGGCCCAAAAACTAAGCATCAGTGAGATTCTGCCCACCCATAAAATATCTACAGTACATGCTGCTCACTGTGAAATAGAAATTGCTCTCTGTGTCACAAATCAAAATGAAAATTGTTGGGTACAGAGAATACATTTCTCTTCTGGTGAAATAAGAGACAAAGCTTTGTAGTAATCATACATAGCATAAAACCTAACTTTACTTTATCATCTTGACTGCAATACTGCATTAATGACATGCAGCTGTTATATTTGCCTGGTAAATCCCTGCTGAATCGTAGAATTAGACTATCTTTTTACTTTTGCAGGTATCTGTAGTGATGGATTGTGTATAAACCAACTTCGTTCTACAACAGTTACTCCCACTGTCATTCAGTTCTTAGATTTAGTTCCCCTCTACAGACTCCATCATGGGCCTGTTATCTCTTCATCAGTATTACCAAAACAGTATTTGAAGAGCAGAACATATTAATCACCTTACCGTGAAAGGAGTTTGTAGTGAAAGAATGGCTGAGGCTATGAAAGAATATCCTACTATAAAACCAGTATGGCAGAATTATATACAGTCTCCTCATGTTTATGCTGCCCCACATGTTCAAATACAAATAGTTAATTTTAAAAGTGAATTACAAAAGCTGCTGTCTCTAACAGATCCCTGTTTTACACATTTTTGAAATACTACAGCATATAATGAGTCACTAAACCCAATGAGTCACAACAAAATTTAACTAATTAAAGACAAACTGTATCAATTAAAGTGTATTATTAACTTGCTTACAAAACAATGGGTTTCATTATTCACTCAAACATCAGAGCAATGACTAAAGCTTTAATTTTCGTATTTATTTATGACTAGATAATTACACACAAAGAAGGTGATTTAGTCTCTTAAGCTACCTAGCTTTTCAGATTTTGATTGCTTTTTAATTATAAAAATCATTACCATCCCAAGTGTCCTTAGCTGGATTTTGGCAAACTTTAATAACATAAAACTTCGCCTTACCTTATCAAGTTCCAGATCTTGAAAAGGAAATTTGCTTATAACTATTTTGTATTCCTCTTCATTTGCTACAGGAATGGGGCTGTAGTTGTCTGCTTCAAAAATATCCCTGGTGAATTAGTTAGTAAAATGAAAAAAAGTTAGGACATGTAACTTATTTACAATATTTTCCAGTGTTAAAACATGTAAATGAATATAAATTTTACTACCACACTTAGGTGCGCAGCTTCAAAAAGTTATGAGCTGCAATCACCATAATTTCAGACATCCAAACTGGTTTTAGATTATTTTGGAAGTACCTTGCATATGCTAACTCTTTATACTGTGTCTAATCACAGAGAAAAAAAATAGCTGAAAGCATTTTAATACGTATGATTCAAAGTATAATACAGCAAAGGAACTTTAGATCAACTAGTCTACTCCAGGCTAAACCATAATGAGATACTTACTAATTATGGTAGCCTTCACTTTGCCTACACTAAAGCAGATATTCAGAGTGTCCCACTTAGGTAACACACCTGTATATAGTCAATACAGATAATTCCGAGAACTTCAACTAGGCACAAGGCCAGACCATTAAGTACCTCTTGGACTTTTCTACTAGTCAAATGACTATACTAGCAGTCTAGAGAGCTTGAGAACCTTAAGTGGTCAATTTAATTTTAAGGTTTTCTGTAATACAATGTAACATATTTTATGGTAAACAATTTCTGCACATTTAGACATCACACCCTATCTGCCAACAGGCTTTGGAGTACAATCCTAGGCTGCCGTATTCCTGGGTTATAATTTACTCAATCAAATGATTCCAAAGAATAGGTGGAAACCAACCTGCATTAAAAAACATGAAGACCTACTGGCACTATCAGTAGTCTGTCAGGGAGATAGTCATATCAGCTAACTGTAAACATTAAGACAATCAAAATTAGGAACCTAATGCCCTGTCGCAGTAGCCTAGAGTTATTAGGCACACTCTCCTGCATTTCTCCAATTCATACATAATACTGAGTTAATAAATTCTTCCAGAATTACAATTCTATTAAAAAAAAAAAGGGGAGTTAGACAAGAAAAAAAAAAGATACAATGCAAAAGGCACAATTATTTTGAAATACTAACCTGAACAGTCCAGACCACTTTTTAAGAAGTGTTTCATTGTACTGGTCTCTTATCTCAAACAAAAGATCAAACAGTCGGTTCACAGGAAAACCATAGCCCTAAGGTATAAAAATAAAAAGGACGGATAATTCAAATTCATGAACTAACATACTCAATCCCTATCACATCACTTCAGGGCTCAGAGATGAGACTTACTCAATCTTGTTACTTCCATAAAACATAGTACCTTAAACACACCATGACTATTAGAAAATTATATATTAAATTCTTATCAAATACTTTATCGTGTGCTTTCGGTTTTCAAGCAGAAGTTTGTCCTGTTTCTCTTTAACATTTTAACTTGCAATTTATGCATATAACTAATCTTTTTTATCCATCTGTTAAACACTGCAAGAATACTTGCCAATGTTGTTCATTTGGTGTTTCAGCTAGAGAGTTAATAACTGGAATGCTCTTCTTGCTAAAGATCAGAAGTAAGGCATTTATAAAAGACAAAACTGTATATAAATTACAAAGCTAACATTAATTTTGCACAGATATGAATAACTGTATGCTAGCTGGATAGTCCAGAATGCATACATTAAATTGATAACACTGAAAAGGAGGAATCAAGGCAAGAAATCATAGAATCATAGAATCATTAAGGTTGGAAAAGACCTCAAGGATCATCAAGTCCAACCGTCAAATACACGTATATTAAAAATATTATTCTGTAATTTTGCTCTTGATTTGTATATATGATTCAGGAAAACCCAAAGCATTGCACTTACTCATCTAAAGCAAAAATTTGACTCCAGGAATTTCAGTTAAATTACTAATTTAATATGTACCTGCAAAGTATCCGCAAATAGTACAATGAGATTCTTCAGTTCCAAAACAAGGTCGGGATCACTGCAATATGACTGAAAGTGAGAAATTCTGGTTTTGTCAAAAGGATTTAAAATACAGGACATATGTTTTCAAAGAATATTAGCACAGAAGGTTAAACTCTTCTAGCCTTATCCCTTTACCTGACTGACTGCCTTAGTTCAAATCAACTGAGAGTCACTTGTCTTCACTTAGTCCAGCTACACAAAAGTATTTAATTCTTTTATATGAACTATCAGGGGTATAAAAGTTCAGGTAACGTGAACTAAAATATGAGATTCAATAAATATCAGCATGTTGTACTGAGATTCAAAATCAGCAAATTACATTTATTTCAGTTGAACATAAGTACACATCAAAATACTTTGCTAAATCAACACCAGAGAGGTTTCCATAGGATGCTCTTTTGAACACTAAGCCTGGGTCTAACTACTGCTAACTGTGCCACCTCAGACAGTTTACCAACTGTAAGGGCAAAACACTATAAAATACTTTCCAAACAAATTCAAATTACAAATCTGATGGTAAGAAGTCAAGATGTTATTTACTCTACTGAATGACTGAAATCTGATTTTCGGAGGTGTGGAATCATACAACCAAGGCTTTCACCTCAGCTTCACTATTTGCAATAGTGGATAAAGAAAAAAAATACTTATATTAAAATAATTTAAAGAAGCATGAGACTAGCATTGGTTAGAGTCTATACTGGTTAGAGCCTATTTCACCTTTCTTTAATTTTTGCTCTTATCATAATTTAATAAAGTAAGGGTTTGGTTTATAATACCTAATAAGACAACACACACTTATCTAAACATTAGTCTGTACTAGGATGATGTTAGAAAGAGATTGTGATAGAATTGGTTTTGATGGGAGTTATGCATTTTGAGAAGAAATAGCGATCAACTACATGACAAGACATTGAGGAGTTCTCTAGAGAATACGTTAGTTTTACTCCTTAATTTACTATATTCTTACATAGATGTGTAAATCCATATGCAGCCAATTAACTTGTCAATTATTTAGCTTAAAAAAATGCTAAATATATCTCAATTTATTCCAATCCTCTAAAATTAATTTAAAAGTATGGGAACATCTCATGTACCACTGATCAGTAAATGGCCTATGATAAAACTATAGTTGTAATCTGAACTTCTTCCCCACTTTTCCTCAGTATATATGAAATTTAAAATATTCCTTGAAATAAAGATGAATCATAATAAAAATCAATCTGCCTAAAGGAACCACTTCTAGCAAACATCAAAAAGGGAAAGATAAAACTCTTCTATATTTTCTGTGTCCTGGTTTTATCTGGGACAGAGTTAACTTTCTTCATAGTAGCTAGTAACAGGCTATGTTCTGGATTTGTGCTGAGAAGAAGGCTGATAATATACTGATATTTATAGTTGTTTCTAGACAGTCAAGAACTTCAGCTTCTCACACTTTGCCAGTGTGTGCAGGCACAGGAGAAGCTAAGAGGGAGCATAGCCCACAATTACTGGCTTAGGATTTGACCTTAGATTTAAGCTTGAGACCCCAATTGGTCAATGGTATATTCCATATCATGCATGTCATGCCCAATATATAGATGAGGAGCTATCCAGAAGCTCACTCTCAATCTCTCAGACTCCTCTTTTCCAGGATTGTGGTTTCAGGACTCTATCTGTTCTGGGATCATTAGCCAGGAATGGAATGGACCTTGGTCACTGGGTGGTAAACTATGTATCACCCATTTTTATATTTGCATATTTGTATATATTACTACTATTATCATCATCGCTATTACATTATTATTTTAAATTTTATTGTAGTTTAGTTATTAAATTGTTCTTATCTCAATCCATGAGTCTCTTTTCCCCTTTCCTCTTTAATTCTCCTCCCCATTCCCCCTGAGGGGGGAAGGGGAGCAAGTGGCTGCACGGCATCTGGTTGCCAGCCAGGTCAAACCATGAGATTCTGATAGTAAAAGTTGTACCAATAGTAAACTCTGATGCAATTTTCTATCAGTCAGTCTGAGCGAACAATGGTATTCCACTGGTTTTCACAGAGGAATAAAAAATAGCACGCAGCTATTCAGCATCATTGGAGCTAAGGTAGAAATGTAACTTTAGGAGACACGCTTTGAATATACTGAAATACTCAGTTGATACCGAATTACATTCTAACATCTGTGAAGACTTTTCTAATACCTTCACTTCAACATAAACATATTACTACTATAGCACTGAAGAGATAGCTCCAAGGATTTTGCTGGTGGAGTTTATTTTGGAAACACAGCATTTGGAATGATAATTAGGAACTATTTCCTGGTGGTGCTTCCAATGCTGAACTATTCAATCTGATCTAATGAAGAGGTCAGTTGAGACTAATGAGGAAGGATTGCAATAATAACAGCAGATTAACTCTGCATATTCTAAACTGCTGGACTAAGAGAAGGTTTGGAAGACCCAGTGAGTTGTAAATCAGTGGAGGATTATGCAAATCGCCCATGGCTGCAAATCACAGCCTGATACTATTGGGAAAAACAAAAGCTTGGCAGGCTCCCTCCCAAATCGGAGCAACTTTCAATCACAAGGAAAAGAAAACATGAGAGACATGTAACTTTTCACTTTGTTACTATCCCAGCTTTAAATATACAGAGCTCTGAAGCAAAAGGATTTAAACTGCAATACTCATAAGACTTCTCACTTACTGAATGTGTTCTAAGAACAGCAATGATCTTGGAAAGGGCCATGTTCCAGAGTTCATCAGTATATGTTCTAGTTACCAGTCCTTGGGTTACATGTAAAATGTGGTCTTCTACTACAAAAAAACTAAAATGAAATAATGCTTAAATTATTAAGTTGTTTCCTAATACTAGAGCAAATTCTACCCTTTCACACACAAGCACAGACAAACCCTTCCCCTCTAAAGTAGTGACACTTTGGTAGGTTTGGTAATGTGTGAAGTTTGTTTCACATCAGCTGGATCCCAGGCTGCCGGAGGGTCCTTGTGGGGAACTGTACTGGTAGGATCTGGATACTCTTCCCCTCTCAGATCCAGCAACAACCACTTGCACGATTTGTGCAGAAATTGAATCTTGCAGAAGTTTTTGGACAATGGGAGAACAGAGGATGAATTAAGAATTAATACAGCAAAACTGAAACAAATCTCTGTTTAGAAAACTTACCCTACAATTTGACTGAAGTATCTTCTATAGCCTTCTACTGTTTCATGCTTTCAGTGAAAAAGAAAACAAGTTTAGGAATAAAAATACCACTAAGTACTAGGTACAACCCAAGTCAATGCAAAATCAATGCTTGTTACCATGCTTGACTGCGGCTGCAGAACTAATCTTGCTTGTTTCCTTCTTTGTTTTCTGTAATAATTTTCAAATATTTCTCCATCACCCTAAAACAAGAAAAAAGTAGTCAAAACAAGAACACTGTCTCAATATGAGAAAGACATTTCTTAAATTAAGGGTAGAATTCTCTTAAACTAATACATACATTTTGCATTTATTCCACATGTAGACCTCCAGTTGACATCAGCAACGTTTTGCATGCATGAAATATGCAGAAATTATCTTTTTTTTTAAAGTAGCCTACAGAATGTAGTGTAAATAAAAATTTTGCTCATGTGCCTACCTTTTGTCAAACAATATTATGCATTTTAAGCAATATTTATGTGTTTAAACTACAGCTTTCAGAGTATATTATTATTCATAGGCAAGGCATATTACCTATTACTCTATAACTGAAACTCATTGTCTCCTAAAGTGTTTCTCTAGGTTATTCAAGAAACCAGCTGCACTGTAAAGTTAACTTACAAACCTGTTTCTGTGAATACATGATACATCTGAACACTGCCTGCATTAGCTTTGCATCAGCAAAAAAAACACACGAGATTTATTTAATATTTGCTTATTCTCTTTGGAAGTGGTAAACATAATGACTGTGGATTTGGATTTTTTCCCCTATCACAGTCCTATCACAATACCCTCTGTGCCTAGTGATTACATTGTGAGGAATTCAACTGACATCCTACTGATCTCATTAAGATGACCATTCAGGAGAAACCATCTGTCCATTTGAAATCAGTGCTACATTGACTCATCTATCTACTGAACGCAATTCAATTTGTATGCAAGCAGAATAAAGAAGCTTAGCATTTTTAAGGTTTGTTTTCACCTCATGAGCCTGTTACTAGGCCAGTACTATTTAGAATTCCATTACTTGAGCTTCCAAAAACCTTCAAATCAAATTATTACAGAGATTGTATATTATGGAGTCAGCATTACCTACCTAACTCCTCTGTAAGATGTAACAAAGTTTAAATTTAGTATTTTAATTTCATAATGATTATTTCATCATATTTAGAAATACTGCTAACCTAACAAAATCTACAAGTAAAAGAGACTTAGCTTAAAAAAACCAAACCAACTGATTTTGAACTGAAATGCAAATTTACTAGAACACATTCTGTTGAAGCAGAACTTTACATACTGTGCTATCATTTGTACTAACACATACTGATCAGACATACTAACCATTCACCTCCAGCCCAAATATTCAATGCAGTTTTCAGATGCACAAAGCCATCATTGAATTCTACTTCCAACGACAAATCTCTACTCAGTCCTGATACAAGCTTCTCAAGTGAAAGAGAGTAGCTGTTCTTCTCAAATCCACACCAAAAATTGAGATGTCAAGTATCTCATGATTATTTATAGACCATGCTATCCTCTGCAATCAAGATCAGCAATTCAGGCATAACAACTATTTAAAAAAGACGTTCTAAAGCAACCAGCAAAATACATCAACAACCCTGATGAATCACTCACTGAATAAGCAAAGGAAGGGCAAGATAAAATATACCAAAGCAATGCATTTGTTTTGCCTAGCTTCCAAAAGTTCACAAGTTTATATCAATAGATATAATAAATCAGTCTGTATTGGGTTATAAATTCCAGAAATATTGCTCATATATCAACTGTTTCACACCATAGTTACTTTTATTTTATACTGCTATACAGCCTTTAGTTAAAAGGTAACATTACATGCCAAAAGGATCAAGAGTGTTTTCATCAGAATTTAACTATACAGTGTCTCACATAATATATGGGCTAAAAAAGCTCTTCAGATATATTGCCCAGAAGTTTCTCACCTAAAGAAAGGTTACTTATCAATAAATACAGTATACGTTTGGTAGGTATGTATCTTGCAGTCACCAGGTTGCAATCACAAGCCATGTAGTATTCTGAGTTATATAAAATCCTGTCTCCTTCTTCAGTAGGAAGCAGAGTAGAAAACGTTTGTCCTGCATAAAATCAGAATATTTTCTAGAGCTTTGTAGAAGAGACAATTCACTGAGAAGGTGACATTTGCTGTGAGATAAGTCCTTGATATAGAAACATAATGAATAGCCAGCTAGTATCAACTCCTCTCCTTTGCTGTCATCATGAAGTTATCTAAACTCCAAAGGAGATGGTTTACAACAGGCGGTAAATAAGAAGGACTCCAAGAAGTGGTTAATGCACAACTCTTGATAATGCTACCACGGCTTATTAATTAGATTATGTTGGCAGGAAAGACAGAAGCCCTATTCTGAAGACATCAACAACCCTTTTTTCTAAGAGTCTAAGGGCCTTTAATATCAGAGAAGCACTCCAAGCTGTTTTCTGTCTCCAGTAAATTCAGAAGCTGGCAAACTTTCTGTGCAAAACTAAAGGGCATATGCATGGACCAAGGATACAACATCAGAATCACTGCCAAAATTTAAAAAATAATCACATATTAGTTTTAAATGTCATCTGCCAATTTTAGTTCCTGTTCTTTTATTATAGTAAAGGAAGAACAAGCAGATGTTGTCAACTGGTATATTTAACTTTACACTTTCTTTCTATATGCTATTTCACACTTATTTCCTCTGTAAAAAGAGATGGTCCACTTTTTTTCAATAGTTTTGGCAGCCTGTCTTTCTGTCCCTCCTGTTCTTTTCATTTACATGAATAATTACTGATGCTCTTACTCGGACTCCTTCTTAAAAGAAAAAAAAAAAGTAAAAAAAAAAAAGTAACAGTGAAATAACACTTTAGATATTATTTCAAGATAAAAAGTTTCATGTTACACAGCTGCAAGGATTTCACAGAAAGAAGATAACCCAGCCTGAATGCTCAAAGCCAGGTCCAGATTAGACTGCAGGATTAGCAATACTTAAAAGTACTTCATCTATATACCCCGATACTTATTCTATAAGTAATTTGACCAAAAAAAGTGAGACACAGGAAAGGTGAGAAAATAAATAATTTGGTACCAAGTTTCCCCAAAAAGGTTTTCATCCTTGTTAGCTTGTGCACTGTATCTCTTTCAGAGCAACTAAAGTGGGCTATTGTGTCTCCGCCACTGAATCCAAACTAATCTGCCTGACCACAGTCTGATTTTTGTTTGCTATTTTGCTCCTCCTATTCTGATTTCTGCAAGATTCAGACTGAATATTCCTATGTTTTGTCATATACCTCCAAGCATTTGGGGAAGCATGGAACACTTGGGGGAACTGCAAAAGTGCCAATACCACAATTGAGGCAGACAAGCATGTTTTACACATATTCTTAAGAAAACTTATGTAATTAATGTCTTGCTGTGTGTCCTTTATTATGCATATAAACCAAATGTGCCCTGAGCATCCACACTCTACCCATCTGACCTGGTTCATCAAGAACTACTACTACTAAAAGCAACGTACTCTCTTAGGAACTATTAGAGTATGAAAAATACAAAAATGAACATTCAACTTCAAAAAGTAAAATATCTTTTTGAAGTCACCTTAATACATACCAAAACTGAGTAAATGTGCAAACACCTATAGACTGGAGAAAAGTCTACAAGATCTTGTGCAGTTAAAACCTGAAGAAGGAAAAGAAAAAGATAAGTATAAAAAGCATAAAAACAACACAATCTGCAAAATGTGATACATTACCAGCAGAACTTGTCCACTTAATAAATACTTTGTAAGACATCTTAACTGGTAATGAATTATCCCTTCCTTTTAAATTCTGTTTTAGTGGCCTCAATTTTACAATTGCTCAACTTGGTTTCCTAAAAATTTGGAGATTTAGGAATTAGTGGTTTAGTAGAGTGTGAAGTTAGTAGACTGATGAATCTGAAGTTCAAATGAATATGGAAATACACTGGGGTTGAATACAAAAGCATTACCAATTGGGACCAGCAAAAGCCAACTCTGTTGACAGGTTTTATGACTACTAGAACTACTGTTTTCATAGAAAGTGGTAGAAGGAGTTTGCTTTAATGACTGTAAGAGTAACTGCAACAGTTTTGTTGCCAGCAGTTTCAGGACCTGAAAAATTGATGGGTTCTGTCACAAAAGAGTAAATTAGTTGCTTAACTCTCACCTTTCTTTGTCTTACAGTACTAGATTTTATTTGTGTTACAAGACCAGACTCCTTTCACTGTGTTTTCAGAGCACCACATTTAAAGGTCTAAATACTTGCTGTTTTATTCAGTTTAGGAATACTGAGTATTTGATAGCTGAAAGCATTCTAATACAAGCTGAAGTCCTCAACACAGAAAAGCTGGCTTTAGCAACAGCAGAATACTCCAGTGGGCCACATATCATCAGCAGTGGGCAAGTACTATATAATGTAAATTGCAACTGAATTCTAGAATAATTACAAGTTTGAGTGTCCCCAAACATGATGTTAAAGCTAGCATTAATACAACTAATATCTTGGCACTATTTTCTCCCCCTAAAATGCTGATCTGGACTGGTGTCCCTTGAAGATGTTCTCTGGTCCTTCCTAACACTGACCATCTACAGACAGTGTACTACAAGTTTTGTTCAATAAACCTACAAAAATTCAATTCAGACACCCAAGGCCAAGCTGCATGGGGCCCTGGGCAGCCTGCTCTAGTGGTTGGCAACCCTGCCCATAGCAGCGATGTTGAAACTAGATAATCTTTAAGGTCCTTTTCAAACCAGGCCATTCTGATCCTAAGATTCTGTGAAAAATCACTTTAAATAAGACATACTGACTAGTATAAAGTTACCTCTTCTTCATGTTCATCATCTTCTTCAAACGTTCGCTTCATTGTCATTTCATTCTTGGATTCCAAAATTCTGCTTCTACCTAAATGCATATTCCGACCATAGTTTACATTATTCTGCTTCTGAAGAGTGGTGCTAAAGGTTTTCTGCTGCTGTGCCTGTTTTAAAAGTAGTACCAATAAAGAGGGATGTAATGCAAGTTTCATCACTGATGAGTATATGCTATGACACGAAAAACCGGTGGTGCTATTGAATGCACATTAGTTTAACTGCAAGATATGTGTCGTCAGCCTACACCTGATGATTTTGTCCTTAATAGATTTGGGATGATAAATTAGTTCAATAGCTAGTTTCCGTAGCATTTTTCCCTTATCCCCAGAATGCAATTTTAAAGATAGAAAAAATTTAAAAAGTAATTAGCAATTTTCTTGACCATAAATTGCAAACAATCAATATTAAAATGACGGGGGAATGACAAGAGGGAATGGTTTTAAACTAAGACAGGGGAGGTTTAGGTTAGAGATTAGGAGAAAGTTTTTCACACAAAGGGTGGTGGCACACTGGAACAGGTTGTCCAGGAAGGTCGTGGATGCCCCATCCCTGGAGGCATTCAAGGCCAGGCTGGATGTGGCTCTGAGCAGCCTGGTCTAGTGGTTGGCAGCCCTGCATATGGCGGGGGGGTTGAAACTAGATGATCACTATGGTCCTTTTCAACCCAGGCCATTCTATGATTCTATGATTCTATGAAGTACAATTATCAGTTTCCAGCCATTTGTTTGCTGCTTTCAGCTAAGCCTTAGTGAGCAGTCAGCTGCAGAAGCCAAATGCACTACATAGTCCTTACTATAGAAAGAAAAGCAACAAGGTAGCACAGTATAATCTTGAGATTAAGTTTCAAACTGCATTTTACAAGAACCTTAGATGACAAAAGGGCAAACCAACCTGAACTCTGTCCAATAAAAAATCAAATAAAAACTTTACTTGCTCTCCAAATAAATTTAAAAGCATTAACTGTTTTAAAGCTTGCCCAGTACCAGTGCTTCAAAATGGCAGATTATTTTGTGATGGAACAGGCAAGGGCTCCAGCTGTCCCAGTCTTACCCTGGCTCTCACCTTAGACCTCTGCCCTCTATCGTCTGTAGTGTATTTCACTATTTTTTGCAACTTGAGATATACAGCATTTCTTCTTCCTTTCCAAGGAAGGAAACTACTTCTTGTGTAGGACAGATACAAATTTTGAAGGAAAGTTTGATGCTACTGTGGTGCCACGCTGCTGCTTTCTGTGTTAGCCAGGGATCGCTAGAATTGACAACTTCATGCCCAGGATAAGAAACTACCCAAGATGTTAGCAAGCATTTCACAGCTCTCCATCTTTACTCAAAGTTCTGTGTGATGACTATAATCCTTAGACAAATTTTTTGGGCTAACTTGCGACTATTGACAGTGATATTTTCAGTAGATAACAGGACTGGAGCCATCCTGTTGTCAGCTTACCTGCTTCATGGCAGTTTCCCCAATTCTGTCAGAATGCTTTCGAATACTCTCTAAGAAATCCTTGAGATCTGACATGGATATTTCTTTTATTTCTTCACGCAGTTTTGGCAGATTTTCTAACATTATCTGGCAAAAACGGTATTGGCTAACTCTAGGAAGATACAGATTTTCCAGCTGTTCCATTGTTTTTAAAGCAGAATAGTATCTACAAAGAGATTAAAATCAAATTATGTAGCTTCTTATCAAATTTTAATAACATACTTTGTTTATCAAATATAGGATATCAATATCATACATGCAATCAATATATATCTAATGAAATGACTCTGTTCTTAGAAAAAAAAAGAAACAAAAGGTCATCCATATAATGCTTTAGTTTGGAAAAAAACAATGAACTGTCAGAGTGAGTCAGTTAAGTAAAAATTTTAAGTAGGCTCCTATGGTATTAGCTGTTCTGATCAATAGATCCCTAACACCACATGGAGCAGCTTGCAGAATGGAGGCATTGAAGTCATAACAATTATCTTCCCTTCTAGATTGGATTTATTAGGGTTTTTTATGAGTTCTTTTTTCTGAAACACAAATTGCCAATCACCCAACATGGCAGTATATGTGCCAAACAATGAAAAAAATCTTGGAAAAGTGTCTGTATTATCTGCCTTCTTTAGGCATATGTGAACATATACACATATCCACACTCACCCTCTTTCCACCATCCTTAGCTGGAAAAAGCACATATACACTTATCTCAAGCAATGTTTTTTTCCAGCAATATATAATATTTTGCTGTAAACCATGAATCTATTTACTTTTCTGACAAAATACGGTACATCCCACCAAGAAAACTACTTTGAACAAGCATTAAGGTCAGAAGGTTTTAAAAAAACCAAAACAACAAAGACTCCATAATTTTCTCTATTCTTCTGTGTTCTGTTAGCCTACGGACTATTTGTACCAGAAATATGGAAGATATGGCCTAAGAGGTGGAAAAAGTAAAACACCAAGAAATACTTCCTCTAGCATCCATACACTTTGCAGATGTACAGTACATTCACAACTACGTTGTGAAATTTTACAATGAGTTTAAAGAAATACTCAAGTTAAAACTAAGCATAAAAAGTTATTTAACTTCAAAATAAAAAATTACTCAAACAATTTTGACATCAGAAATCTACCAAATACTAACACATCAACTCTATCTATTACTACAGTTATTTACCTTTCTTCACTCTCAGTTCTCTCACAGGTTACAGGGGTTTTGTAGCCAAGACTTACTTGCTAAAACCATTTATCAACTTCAGGCCTGTAGCATACAAGTAAAATTTGGATGCTTTCAGCTATTTAGGGAAACATTTCAAGAAGGAAATTTTAATTGATGGAAATTGGTTTTCCATGCTTCCTCTTATAATCAGTAGAGGGATGAACACCACAAGCAGGTGATTCAGAGCTGAGCCAGGCTCCTATATGCCTGTCCTGAAGTCAATACCCTTCTCTATTTTGTTTTCAAATGTCACACAGGCTCCTAAGGCAGAAGGGTTGTGAAAATTTTTACTTTATTGAAAAGATGAAGCAAAACAGAAGTGAGCCAATTCTGGGATAGATGCTAACCTAAGAAGGCAATAAACAGAAACACCTTGATCAACAAATCTGTAATGTCAACAATATTTTAAAGAGAGGTGCAGCAGACAGTTTAAACATGAACAGGACAGCAATTAGTTGTAGACTGGACAGTAATTTTCCTTTATGTAATATTCTTCCCAGCCACTCAGCCCAGGAAGCTTTTGGAAAAATGCATTTAGTTTGGAAAATAACAGAATAAGGTGAACCGATGCCTTCTAAGCTTGGTCTTGAAGAGGAAAAGTAGAAAAACTGACATCAGACTGAGTTAACCTGCTGTTCGTTCCAACCCTTTATTTCCGCACATACAGAGTAATATCCTTAGCCCATTTTTAGCTTTTCATATTAAAACCTTAGTTCCTTTTTCTTCCTCAAAGTCTTCCACAATCAGTATTGGAAAATTACCAAATCATTTTGAAAGGAAAAATCTGAATATGAGTAAAGTCCCTTCAAATGTTCAAGAAAACCTAGAAAAGTGTCCTTTCCAGTTCTTTTCCTTCTGGATATTACTTTGTAGATATAGAGTGTAAACACTTTCAAACTGAAATACAGTTCAAGCTGCTGGCTCCCCTTCTGTAGACAAGCAGTGATAAATTATTAATACTTCAGTCATAACTCCTTGTTCCATTCTGAAATAAACACATTGTTTTGAACTTTCTCAATCAAGACATTTCTAAGCTAACCATTCAGCATAGCTGGAGGATGGGAAAAATATTTTATTTTATTCCAGAACACAACTTCTTTCAGAAGACTGCAAATAAAGAGGTTTCAAGTGTAAATTAGGACCTTTTGTTTATTATATATTTGGTTTACATAAAACATACACAAGGTGATGGGAATGTTACAGATAAGAAGGGGGCTGAGGGTCTTATGTGTGGGGATTTTGGGTTTTTAAAATAGTAAATGACCAAGAGTGCCACATGGTGAGACTTCTGGGGAATAAAACCATAATACCATCAAAACCATATAAAAGGTTTTTATTTAAATTATACGGATCAGCTTATCAGAACACTGTTAGTTCATCTGGAAGGTTACTGACTGCTGTCTCTAAGATCAGAATTAACATAATCCATTTTAAATCCATCTGAGAGTCCCTTACTAATTATACATACATGGAGCTCAGGACCTTGCCTTTTTAACACCTGTTCTGATAAAGCACTGAAGTGTTATTAATTTGAAGGTCATCTGCAGTTCAGGATGCAAACGAAAAAGTTTTGCATATCATTTCATAGAATGATATATTTGTATATTTTCCTTTAAAAATATTCCATACATTTAACTCAATGCTGAAGATTTTGACAATATTATTAGTTCCCATCATATATTATCAATCATAGAAGGTAAAGATTGCCCATTTGACTATAAATTAGTTAAAGAAGTATCTTCAAAGTTATTTTTTATATAAATATAGCAGTCCTCTGTCTATTCTTCTGAACTAATCTTGTAAGAATATGTTCCCCAATGCAAAATTTATAATGTAAGCTTTGAAACTGAACACACAAGTTCGAAACACCAATAGAGATCATACGATGACTGTCCAGAACTGATCCATCTTGTCATCAGAACCAGAAAACTGTAAGAAGGATTTTACTAACCTCTCCAAATTATAAAAATGGAAACTTCTAAAACCAGCAAGAAGCAGGAAAAAAACCCCACACAAACAAATAAAAAATACAACAAAAAGCCCCCAGAAGATTAATATTAGTCTTTTGCATCATCTTATTATAAAATTAAGCTGGTGTTTTACAAAATGTCCAAGTCCCAGGCATAGAGTAGTCAGGTCTGTATTAGAATTTGAAACACCAACACACAAAAAGTCCAAAAGAAAAATAAAGTGACCATTACTTTAGTGTACACAAAGTATTGACTTATGTTTTAAATGACAGAGAACTTTTAAGATGTTTACCAGAGGAATGTCATTTGGAGGCAGTTAAGAGAAATACCTTAACTTACTAAAAAAGCCCACTCAAGTTAACTAGAGCAGTCAAGAAGCTATGCAGGACAGGACCAAGATGAACCTAAAGGCTGTGAATTTTACTGAGAATAATGCATTTGTACACAAGCCTTTTGAGTAAAGAAACGTGCAGTCATGTCCCAAAATTGCTGAAAAAACCAAGAGAAGAGACAATAACCTTAAGATTCTCATTTTATTTTAATGAACGAAACAAACTTAATTTACAAAGAAAAAATAAGGTTGTTCTTCAACATCTGTGCTTCCTCAGAGGCAAATACTGTATATTCATGCTTACTACATTTCTATTAAGTAAATATGAAAAACTTTTTGTTTTAGGGGGCTCATTGGAATTTTTCAATAATACTGTGGAAAAGTCACATTCACAGAGATCTTGAAGATGACATATTGAAACTGCAATTGAAAAGCTTTCACCACAGGAAAATATTTTTATTTCTTTTGTTTTTAAATCTAGTTGCCTTAACAATTCTAAATCTAATTTTTAAACTTCCCCAGCATACCAATTTTATCAGTTGCTCCAAGGGACCATGAACTGAGATCAAGCCACTACTAACTCTGAAACTTCTGCAAAGTGTGTCTAAAAGCTCAATATTTCTGAAAATCAGATTAAAGAGTTGCTGTGTGAAAAATGAATTTTTGTAAATGCTTGGAAAGTTTATGCAGAGAAAGGCTGCATGACTGTCTCAGTGAGACTTAGTAAACTAAAAAACTAATCGACTGCCTTTCCCGCAGTTTGGAAGAAAGCTTATAAGGAAGGTCAAAAAACAAATCCAAGTCTTTTGGGCAAAAAGCCAAAAAAACCTCAGCAGACCTCAGCAGATTGATTTATTTAATTATTTCTGTTGTATGGTAGGTTGGGGTTTTATTTTTGGTTTTATTCATTGTGGAAGAACACTAGCAAAAACACCAGCTCCAGCAATTCCCAGTTATACCACAATCTCTCGAAGCAGCTGGGAACTTTCTCCAGAGACACATATCAAAATCCAAATGCACAAGCCAGGTAATAGAGCTGTATAAAATGTGATGAACTTATCTCTGACTTAAAATTAAGGATCTAGTTTGTTCAGTCTAAATGCATAGCCCCCACTAGGTGTTTTGAAGAGCACTGGAGAAACCACACCTCTCCCTTGTGCTTCTTCAGCTAAGACTTTAAGCCCTCCACAACTCTTTCAAGCCAATTGTGTCTGTTTAGAGCAGATTCTCTAGTTACTTCCTTTCACAACTATAGTTCTTGTCAATTTGTGTTATGCATGGCTCAGGAGACAGATAAACAGGACACAGAGCCTTTCACCTCTAGGTCATCAGTTCAAACATAGTCCATGTTCATAGAGACCAAAAGTTGCTATCAATAGATGGCTTTTTGGACTCCTCAGTAAACCTCAATTCCATATGCATAAACCAGTATGTATTCCAAACTCCAAATCCTGCATTATCTTAAAAGGTGTCTGCCATGGAGAAAAGGAAATGGAATTCCAATCTTTATCCTAAAACAACCATCCTCCAAAAACATAGAATATCCACACTTTCTTCTTCCCTTCCTTTAAACGTTAGAAATGCACAGTACAAGAGCGTAAGACAATGGCATAATGAAAATACCTTCTAAAAGGCTGCACGCAGAGAAAGTAAAAAGAAAAGAGGTTTTTTTTAAAAAGACCAATGAAACTTCGCTGCATTGAAAAACCTCAGTGAAGGTTTATGAGAAAAACTATCTTTGCCTAAAATAAACATTCCTGATTGTTTTGTTAAAACAGGGATTGTGAGCGCTGCTCTCTCTGGCTCTTCTAAGAAAGCTTCACAGCAAAACTTGGGAAGGTCAGTTTTCAAATTCCTTGTACCTGGTATCTGCACACATCAGCTATCAGGTCTTTGCACTGATGCTAGGGATGTCCTCGCTATTGCTCAATCACTTAGTGATAAAGGCCAGGATAGACTCACTCTTTGGATTTGTTGCCTGCTAAGCCACAAGAAAACTAGCATTTGAATTACCTTAAAGTTCCATGGCATAGCCACCTCTAGGCTGTATTATGGGGAATTGTAAGTCACAGGCAAAGTAGTAACTGTAGCATAGCTAATGAAAGAGATATCTGAGCTGGAGGAGCAGCCTGCAGCAGAGTCTAAACCTTCTGCACTCCATGTGATTTCAAGGTACGGCACATCAAAGCTACAGCATCTCTCCTCTCCCTTAGATCTTTTTATGGTATGACAATGACATGCCCAAACCCCTCAATTCAGCAGACTGTCCTTTGACTTTTAAGACTTCCTGTCTGGCAACTTCTTCCAGAGGAAAATTATCAGATCTGAATCTCTTAAATAACAGAAATCTAGTTTTAGATGTAAAGAGATTTCTCAGAAAGCACATCAACCATCAGTGGACCCTACAAAACTACTAGCAAACATGGAGTCAAAATGCTAAAAGCCATCTGCAATTTTATCTCACCTAAGTGACCTCTCCATGATGATATTAGAAACCATAACTTCCCTTACAATTCTAAAACCAGGATGCTGCCTGTCTTCCCCGATAGAGCCAGGGAATGGCAGAACACAGGGCTTGATCCCAGCATTCCCGTATTTTCAACATGCAAAACATAACACACTCTACAGACCACCTTGGAGAAGGAAACAGTGCCATTCAGAGAGCACACCCTGTGGTCTGTCATCTGGCCAGACCCCAGAGAGGGTGCTGGACTGTTTACATCTGTCTGCTGAGCTGCTCCAAGAGCACTGCAACAATATGCTTCCAGTTACTCTAAGCAGACGTCAAACCAGTGTCCTGCTCAGAGGAAGTAGCATGTAGTAGTCAAGCTTATAAGATCTACCACACTGGTTGACATCTAGCAAGTTTGGATTTGTAATAAGAGACCACATAGTGTCATAGCTATTAGGTTATTCTTAAAGCTGTTGTATTTCTGCAGAAAACCTCCCAGACAGCATGTGTGCACAGGTGTCATGTAGCACATATACCACTGTGAAAGACGCATAAGATTTGCTGCAATCTGATGTGTACAGTAGATCAGCCTTCCAGTACCTAAAGGGAGCCTACGGGAGAGATGGGGAGGCACTCTTTACCAGGGAGTGTAGTGATAGGATGAGGGATAATGGTTTTAAACTGAAAGAGGGTAGATTGAGACTAGATATGAAGAAGAAATTTTTTTACTGTGAGGGTTGTGAGGCACTGGCCCAGGTTACCCAGGGAAGCTGTGGATGCCCCATCCCTGGAGGTGTTCAAGGTCAGGCTGGACGAGGCTTTGAGCAACCTGGGCTAGTGGAGGGTGTCCCTGTCCATGGCAGGGGGATTGGAACTAGATGATCTTTAAGGTCCTTTTCAACCCAAACCATTCTGTGATTCTATCAGATGCATTTTGGACATGTCTGCACACAGGCTCTAGAGCTGATTTACTCATATGCAGTGGCTGCTGTTGAGGATTTTCAGATGTCCAGCAGTATGGCGGGAGGTGTTGGCTACCCAGACAAGAGAAATGCAGACAAACAGTCCAAAAGTAAATCTAGATTACACAGTAGCCCTGTAGACACCTAACTATGCATAGCTAGTTCGAAATGGAAACAGTCAGCTCCAGAAAGACTTGTTTAGCAGGAGCTAGCTGCAGTGGTGACAGGCACACAAAGGGGCCATGACAATGATCATGAATCCAGCAAGGGAAGACACAGAGCAATCGGCTGACTGAGGCTGTATGAAAAGCAGGAAGGGACGAAGGTGGCAATGATACTGTAGAAATCAGGAAGAAGAGCATCAGCAGTATTCCCGGGGTGGGTGTGCATGAGGTGCAAGGCGGCAGCATCAGCTCCAGGGACGGGGTAACAGCAACAGCAGGGCAAGGGCAGCCAAGCTGCTGCAGAGAGAGAACTGGGGATTGCGGGGTTACTGCAGCAATGAGTGGCTCTCTGAAGAGATGGGAAGTCAAGACACAGCAGAGTAAGGACCAACTGGTCACGTACTAGTCAGAAACCATTATTCTAGAAATTTATTTTTATTATGGTTTTCATTTTTTTTAACAAGTCAACTTGTCACAGAGGGAAAAAACCCCAAACCACATCACAGTTCATAGTCCCATGTACACAGAAGATTGCACAGGGATACCAGACAGGTCTAAAGAAAGGTGTATGGAGTGAAAAGTCCTTTTTCCTTGCATTATGAATTTGATTTAAATACATCATGATAATCAGGTATTAATGTACTCTGAAAAATATTTACTCCCTGAGGATCTTATTATTCTTGCTTCTTAAACTGTTTCAAGTATTAAAAAAATACACTTCACAGTTTACAATCATAATTCCACTGCATGTCACGGTTATTTAAGTAGACATTATTTTTCATGGCAATCACTAAGCTCCTAGAAGTATTTGTTCTCTTGCAGTGACATTCTTGAAACACAGACAAGGTATTACGAAAAGAAGACTACATGTACCAAGCTACAAGACTTAGAACACTGATTTGTCTATATTAGTGTTCACTCTTCTATCAGTTTACTTACAAATGTTATATTTTACCCATAGAAATAAGTTAACTCACCTTTTTACATTCATCTGTTCTTTTAGTTTGCTGTACATTTCCAGAACTGCATAAAAACAAGCAGATTAACCCATGGAGCTTATCATGGCTTTAGTTAACAAAAGAGGAAAATATATACTTTAAAGTACAAAATGAAGCATAGAAAATAATATGCTAAATTTATCTTAATCAATCTTATCTTTAATTCCTACTGTAACATAAATGTGATAGAACTAGCAAAAAAAAAAATTCTAGATGCAGTTAAGAAAGACAAAGGAACTCAACTCTTAACAGCTTTTAAAAGAAAAATAATTACAATTAAACAAAACAGTAGACACTATATCAAGCATATTCGTTCACTTACTACACACCATAACTTTATCTGCATTACCAATCTATGACCTGTCTCTATTAAATGGCAACAGTACCACCTACTGTAACTATAACAAGTCAACAACAAGACTTTACAAAGAAAAACTCTCAAATCTGTTTTACTCCAGTATCACAAAGAGGATAAAAACCCTTACAGAGCTGTGTGCAATCCCACAATATTACCTTTCTGAAACATCATTTAGAGCCCTTATGTTTTTTTAAAAAAAAAAGCCTAAGGCTGGAATGACACAGCTAAAAATGCAAGATTGAAATGAAATCATTAGTGTTTTCCATAGAATTCAGACCGCAAAAAACACCCTCTTAAACAACAAATTTATTGTTTACCATATTAAAAATATTTCTTCATTTAAAACTGTATATGGCTACATTGTTTGCATCATTTACATCTGTCTCACTGTCTTCGCACAAAGTGGCATGGAACGTCCCTGTTGACATATTTTTAAAAGCTGCTAATTCTTTTGTTAAAATGGATGTTACAGGACCATAAAACTCTTTTGCATTTTGGCTACTGTGGCTTACCGTATTTAATTTGCCATCATATTTAGCTACAAGTCACTCACCTGGAAGACACAACTGTAGTTTTTCCACAACTGTCGTAATATTCCGTTGCTGAACTCTACATCGGATGATTTCCTCTGTTTGGGCTATCACCTTAGAGAATTAAAAAAAAAAAAAAAAAAAAAAAAAGGACAAAGAAAAACACAAGTAAATTATGCAAATAAGTTTAATTTGCTACAAATATTCATAATGTCCATATAGGAAGCACCATTTTCTCACCTCTTTCCCAGCATCCTGAAGCCTTCGGTTGGTATCAGTAACTTGGACCTTAAAAATAATTTCACCTTTGTTAGACAAATATGCATATATTGCCCTGATGTGACTGCTCACCCTTGTAATCAGATCATGCTTCATGAGAAACTTAGAACAAAGAAATGCAAATTCAAATTAACTCTACAGCTTGAACTTGAACTTTTGATCGCAAAGGGCTTTTGTTAACTTCAATTACTTATGACAGTTCTTTCTAACAGATTCTGTGGCAAACTTCTCAAATTTACTTGGGATTTTTGAACTTTCCTTGTTTCTGTAGGTCTGTCAAACAATTCAAATCATTGACCCAATTGACCACTGGTCCCTTTTTGATAACCTCAATGAGCTCTATGGGCCATTCATTGTCTGTAAGAAATGGTGATTGCATTTTATGGTAATTAAACATTCATACTTTGCTGAATGCAAACACTGGGTGGTTGATTAACATCAAACGTGGAAATCTCCAAACCACAGCAACATTTTAATGCTGCAGGTGCAGGCAAAGCTCGACCTCAGATTTTCCCACATAGTAAGTGACTCATTAGGTCATCATAATAAGGAAGCACATTCTAGTTTATTAAAAATCTCATTAATTTCTGAACAAAGATGCTCAATGACCTCATTGACGCTGTATTTGGTCTCTTGTTATCTGAATATCCTTTATATAATGCTCTTCTAATCATAACCTCCGATGAACTATGCTCATTCTGTCTGGTGTGCATATTTTGCTCTCAAAAGTGTAAAGAGAGCTAAAAGGGATGGATCTCATAATTCACTATTCTGCGTTCTGATTTGGGAGTAAATCTTAGTTCTCATTTCTAACTAAAACTATTAATTCCATCTACTCACCTACTCATTACAGAGTAAAGAAAATTTATTTTCCATGCTTAATTGCAGTATTTTTATTGTTCCAATCAAGATTTTAGATTTTTTTAAAGTCTGGCATATAAATACATGATTAGAAAAAGACCTATGCAAGAGAAATTGGGTTTACTATTTATTATTCTTTACTTTCTAAGAAAGCCTCTAAAAATGGCAAAATAATTTTTATAACATTTTCTGAAAATGTATATTACAACAAAAAAAATCATAATTAGACCTAATAAATTATTCAATTTTGTAAATGTAAATCACTGGATCAAGCAACACAGCTCTAACCACAAATCCTAAATAATCCACTTTTTTAAAACCGTTGCAAACATCAGAGCGTATATGATAATCACTAAGTTCTTATTCTTCAGTGAAAGAGTCAAGTTCCTTCTTTTAAATTCAAAGACAACGATATATGAAACTCTGGAAAACTAGTTTCTTACCTTTAATTTTTCTGCATCAGCCCTAACTTTAAGAAGTTCTGTAATGGCATCCACAAAGCCCTGATGGTGAAAATTGCACATCTTTTCTATCTCCCTGTCATGGTTACGTATGCAGGCATCTAGTTTTTCCATAAACCTCTGATGTGCATTTGGTTGGTCATCATACACAGACCTGTTAAATACAAATAAGGAAATCAAAGTTTACTTTTCCCCTAGTCAAAAATAGTATGCAAGGATCTTTATTGAAATCACTCTCTTAAAACGAAAATAAAAGATGCAAACTTGATGTTACGGTGGCATCATTTGTGATCCACTCCAGCAAAATCAGCATTAAAAGAGATGGCGCAAAACTGAGAACTGAACCCAGCCCTTATGGCATTAATCCAGGTGCTTAACCAGTTACATCATGGTTGACCTGAGTCTCACTGGTCTGTTATTTATGCCCTAATGCTCAAATACGGGTACAAAAGAATCAGTTTCTCCAACCATCTCGAATAGCATGGATCACTTTTCCATCAAATTCCACTCTCTGCTAAATATAAATAAGTGCAAACATACAAATTTGCTTTTCTGGTATTCCTAACATCAGAGTTATCCAGCTAAATCAGGGTTGGATACTTCCACCCAGAACGACTGGAGCACGGTCCAGAAGCAGCTGGACCCCTGGCGGAAGGCAATCCCTACTGCTCCCTGCCTCCTCCTGCCTGCGCCCGATGTCTCCCAAAGCAAAACCACGACACGGACGCACCTACAGCTGCTACCTTCGTGGGATCCTACTTTCAGGAATGGGTAAAATAAGGTCTTTTGGTTTATTTTACTAACTGTTCGAATAGTACCATTATAAACCTCAACCAGGAAACATGACTCCAGGAGAAATTATCGGTTTTGCATGTTAAGCTGCATCAGAAAGAGAAAGCTGCACAGAAAAATGCTCAAGCACAATAGTGAGCAAAGGAGATGGAGGCAATTCAAAGCTTTAGACTTCAACAGAGGAAGGAAGAAAAGAGCTATTACGGAGAACTGTACTGGAAATCAAAGGTATGAAGTCTCCCAATAAAGTTAAAGCAAAGGCAGTTCCAAAATTGGATTAATAACGTGACACAGCAACAGAGCAAAGACGGGTAATTTTTGAAGTACCTTTTCAGATAAAATGAGAGCAGCAATATGAGGATGATACAGTCGTATACACACAAGCATGTCTGTGCTGCAAACTACAAGCATTCAAAAAAATCAGATCAAAAATCTTCACATTGCTTTTTTTTTAGCCTCTAATTTCCTTTCATAATTACAAAGTTTTCTCCAGAAATCCACAGGGAGAAGCTGCTTTAAAAAAAAAATTTTAAATCTTCAGACTGGGCAGGGTGCAAAGGCTGAAGTTCCAATGGTTTTCTCAATGTTGCTTGTAGAAGTACAGTCTTAAGTACAAGGCCCAGACAAAAGTCAGTCAAAGCCTCTAAAACTGAGTAGAGAGAAAGTACTTCCCTACTCGTCTTCTCAGAGAAGTATGGCTTCCCAAGATCCTCTTTTCTAATCAGATAGCTGGGCTCTGCCAAGATCCGGGGTCATCACCTGTTCAACAAACCTACAGCTAAGTGTCTGACAAGAACTTGACCTTTCAAGGAAGAAAAGGGTACAGAAGAGATTGAAAAGACTCTTGTAACTAAATTCTTCATCCTTTTTGAGCTCCTTTTGACCTTGGACATTCTACTCAGAGAGGCAACTGAAGTTAGAGAAAGGAGAAGGGTAATAAGCTGTCCTACATGCCAAAGGAAGAAAGCCAATTCCTGATAGCCTGCTTGCTACAGAGATTTTCTCAGGGAAAAATCTATTCAATAAAATATTCCCTAGATATCCCCCTTTTCCTTATGATTGACGAGAAAATGAGGCTATGGTATGGAAAGGCAGGCTCTTGCCTCCAATGTGCACCAAGGGAAAATACAAGGTTGTTGACCCATTAAGTCATTCACAAAGGGGAATACAGCCCTCACCCTTTCCACCACCACAGTTCGAAATGACAGCTGGAAGGAGCAAATGTGTGACAGTCAGTCTCTCTTTCTGAGGTTCCTGACAGACTGCTTGAAAGAGATCCCTTCAAGACTGCCCTGGAGAATTGCAGTTTAAAGGGCTGTTTTGGAAGACCATGAGTGACTCACATCTGCCAGTGGAAAACACCTCACCCAGAACCCGGTGCTGGCTGGAGAGAGAAGCAGCAACCTGGCCTGGATTTGTGCTCAGAAGGTTGATAACATACTGCTGTTAATAGCTGTTGCCAGGACAGTCAAGGACTTTTCAACATCATGCTTTGACAGTGTCTGCAGGTGCAGGAGAAGCTGGGAAGGAGCACAGCCCACGATTACTGGCTTAGGATGTCTTGATACCATTTAATCAATTTTATATCTGCCAAGTCTAGCAGACATGCTGTTAAAATACTGAGAGGGGGAAATAATTTCCAATCACGAAATTTCTCTTCGAAATGTTATCAAACTATTCCAGACAACAAAGCCAGAAATTCTGGAAGCACATATGACATAGCATAGGCAATATCGTATTCACTGTTATAAGAATCAGTATTTATTATTTTTTCTCAGTATTAAAACTAGTCATACTCCAGTTTAATGATGATAAATAAAGTACTGATTGACAATTCTCGGGGGTATTATCACAATATTTAATTCAAAATCATACAGGGAATAAATGTTTAAAATTGAGGAGGAAGAAATCAACACTGTGTAAGTCCCAATGCACTGCTTTAACCACAAGATTAGCCTACCTTATTAAAATAAGTTTCTATTTTATGTTCTACATTACACTGTTTTCTGCAGGGACACTAACAAAACAGTGATCTGTGATCTAAAGCAGTATTTTGACATAGCTCCTCACAATTCCCTTGTAGTATAAATTCCACATTAATTACATATGTGGACAGCTCCATCTTGTGGAAACAACGACACATCAACCCTCTTCAGCACACTAGTGAAAAAACTGAGACAGAACCGCTTACCTTTAAAGAAATAAATCCTCACAGTACTTAGAGGAAATTCACACTTTGTATCACAACTGTCTGATTTAGGTGTGAAGAAGACAAATTAAACAAGTTTACTAACCTTCTTAAGACGCTGTACTCTCAGGATACTATACACATGGTATTTCAGAGGCTTCAGAAGGAAGTCTGACCTAAAGCACTGCCCTTTTTGGAAGTGTAAGTGTACTTGAGAGAGCCATGCCATCTCTGGCCATGGACAGAGACTAGGCTTTTTCTCAAAACTGCAAACACAACTGAGGTGATGCACGCCTAGTTTACCTATTATGGAGCATCTCACAAAGTACAGTACAATTTATTTCTGATACTGAAGCTTATTTTCCATCCATACACTTCAAAAATTACCTACACTTATTTAAATAAAGTAATTGCTACCTTTGAATAATTACCTGAAGTTATACATTTCAACAGGTTATGGCGCTGCAAGCAATCCTGATAGCAATTTTGCACTTTTCAGAGTTAAACTATCAGGCAGACAAATAAACATACTGAAATATCTTGGAGAGAGACACACAATCCTGAAAGCATCCTATAGCTAATTCTTTTAAATTACAAGACAAAATGAACAAAATTTACAACACACACACACAGTTCTGTCAGGAAGACAGTGAGGAAGTGGTAACCCTTCCAGACACATTTCTTCAGGAGACAACTACCACATGCAATTATGTCTATCCTAAAAATCTTTCTCTCACTTTAAGCTGCTTCCCACACGTCAGTGGGAAGTGTCATAAAAAGGGGTAAACATGTCTAGGCTATCAAGAGAAGTTTTACATGTGTAATGCATAGTTCGTTCAATTTTTATTTACATTTATACACTTCTGAATGAAGAACCCCAAGGATCCTCTTCAGCTTTATGGGCCCCTGAAGTGGATGCTTGTGGTCTGAAATATAGCACAAATCTGAACTGAGCAAAACTGAAAGACATGATCAGTTTGTATTACAATTGCTTTCAACCTGTGATCTATACAGCTACAGGAACCTACGGACTACTAGTGGTTGATCCACACCATGACACTCCGAAGAGTAAGCTTTTTCTCAGTATGAGTTTTCAAACTGGGGAAAAAAAAAAGGAGAAAATCACTGATGTTGAAGACAGAAGTTTGTATTTGATTTCAGCACAAAAGAAAAACAACCCACAACATACCATCTGAATTTTCAATCTGAAATGAGAGAGTATTAACTTGAGTGACTAGTTAGACATCAGTACTGCAAATAAGGGCACCCCCGAAGAGCACAAGCAGAGCTGAAGGATTTTTCTGGTAATGTGTAGCAGGTTATTTGTTTATATTTCCCAGAACTCTGTACATAGACAGAGAGACTTTTTTTTCTGAGTCATCCCAACAACTGGACAATATAAGTCATATTAATGCCAGTCTAGGTAAATACAAGACAGTGCAAAAAGTACTCAAAATAGGAAAAAAATTAACTAGGAACAGTCAGAGACAGCTTAACCTAAAGGAGAAAGATGTCTAGTCACTGGCTCAATTTTATTGCAATACAGGTATTTTTACCTTAATCTTTTCTTACCAGTTGGGCTGAAGGGAGAAAGACAAACACAAACAGATGTGAATTCAGATCTCAATAAAAAAATGAAGGAGAATTTTCAGATATGCAACCATTTTCCAACTGAAGAAAATCAAACAAGGTTACTTTATACCATAAAAAACCTCCCTAATTTTTTTTTTCAAAACTGAAACAAAATATGAAAAACACACATTTAATAGGTCTTATTGACAATTTTTCTGTGTTTACATGCAAAAATCTGTGGAAGCACCAGAGGGCACCATCCTATGCAGAAAAACACCAATCGCTGAGTAAGCGAAAAGGCTACTCTCCGAAAAGCTAAAATTCAGCCAAGAATCACAAACTTAACCTGCCATGAATTCCATAACTTCACAAAATTGTAATAATTTTTTAAAAATCAATTATCGTCAAATAATTTATTCTATTCTATAAGGACAACTCCATACATATGCATTATTACTCCAAGCCACTAACCATACATCTCTTCACAAATGGTTACCGTGCAGCTTCAAAAACATATTTCTTCCATCATTTCATGTAAATAATTTCTACTCATGCAATCAGGACACATGCCATTAAACACCTGAGTGCAAACGGGATTAAA